GGGAAGATAGCATTCAAAGCAAAGCTGTAATAGGCCAGCATTAGTTTACCAGCTTTTATATTGGATCCCAATAACGAGTAGATATGTTTAAGTCGTTCAAACCTCACTGTGAGGAAAAAAGCAATTTCTGAAATAGATTATACAAGATCCTGCTCTTCTTTCACTTACTTGTTCTGTAACTTTCAAGCTCTTCCGTACTTAAAGTGATGTTATCGGAAATAAGGCCACAAAATAAGAAATGTAGAGAAAGCTATATATACATATATTCAATGGAATAACATGAAAAAAGGGAAGGAGTGCTGTACTTCATGGCAGCAGATTCAAGCAGATTGCTTGAAGCTGAGAAACATAAAGCCCTGTTCCAGATCTCTTGCTCTAGGGAAAGTGAGGAAGAAGGGATCATCCAAAAAAGAAGAAAATAGATGAGTCTTTTCTGGGTAAATAGAAGAAATATCACCTTTCCTGGAGAATTTTAGTTACTCAAAACAGTACAATGAGACACCAGCAGTCTAAGTTCTCTGTGATGGTCACAAGTCTCTTTTCTATAGACAAATCTATTAAAACTGCGGGAAGCAGGTGGGCATTTAGATTCGATTCCAATAAGGAGAAATTTAAGGACTGAAAGGTGAAAGACAATGGAAGTGGAAGTGATCATAGGACAGCAGAGGAAGGGAAGAGAGACCAGGAGAAGGAGGACAATGGACTTCAAAAAAAAAAAAAAAAAAAAAAAGGAGGAGCTGGGGAGAAGCAGAATTCAACACGTTTAGAACTGTGAGGCACCGTCTGTTGGGAAGATAATCTGAGACAGAGGAATGCAGGAAACCTGGTAGTGCTCAAAGAGACAGTATCAAAAGAACAATAGCAGACTATCCCAGTACAGAGGAAAGATAGTGAACATAGCTTGAAACCAATATGGTCACATTAGGAGCACTTTAAAGACTGAACAATGAAAAAGCAACTGTACAGAAAGTGGGAACAAGGACAGGCAACTAAGAAAGACTATAAAGGAATAGCACAAACATGCAGGGATAAATCAGCAAGGCTAAGGCATAAGATGAATTACAACTAACAAGGACATAAAGGCAACAAAGAAGCTCTATAAATACATTAAAAGTAAGAGGAAAGCAAAGCAAAGCAAATGGAGAACAAGTCCAATGATGCCAGGAATGCAGTATTATCTCTGTCGCAACCTCCAGTAAAAAAAAAAAGGTTAGTTGTGACCAGATACTTAATGCCATTTTAATAAGGAGACAAGAGAGCCGGCCAGAATAGGAAACAAGCTGAAGACTGTTCTGATGACTTAAGGCTTGCTTGCCCAGGGACATAAAAACACAGTAAATTCATGTGTGAATTTGCCCTGTGACTCTGCACCAGCCAGCACCTGCTTTAAGGGATGCACATCTGTATTTGCAGAACAAGTGGCAGGAATGTTGTATTGCTCCAGAAGCCGGCTGGTGTCTAACCTTGACATAGAGGGGCTGGTGACAGATGCAGGATATTTCTAGAGATAAGAGAAAAAATACATTCACACTCACAAAATCCAGCACCTTTAAGAGATAATGTCTTTTTTTTTAATTTTTGGCTAATTCCTTGAATAGGGTCAGCTGAGAAATATGCAAAGGACATGGGTCAAGGTCCCACAGCTACCAGCTCTGTCTAAATGGACAATGCCAGTTTTGCTCTGCCATCTTCCAAGGAGGCTGGTCCTGCAAGAAAATAGAAGCAAGAGTTCCTACGGTCAGAAACTTGACCCCTTGGTGTTGTGGGATGTGTTACCCAACAGTTTTTGCTGCTCAGTCCAGGTACTGACAATCTCTTATGCTCCAAAATCTTGTCATCTCCCTCCTGGCTGACCAGGATGTGTCCCTGCCTACTGTCTTCCATATGGCACAGACCAGATGAAGCCTGTGCTCTCAGGACTCTAAGTTATAGCTGTCCTCTACTAATAACACATTCTTTCTGCAACACAAAGTGACTCCACAGCATTTTCTGGTAAGGGAAATTATAGCTTGGCATCTGTTCTTTTCACTGCCAGAACCAGATTGCTCATCTTATTATATCTTACAAAATTGCTCAAGACCCGCAAGGAGAAAATTGATTTTCAATATGGCCTTTTTTTTTTGTTTTAATAAACACACTTAAGATCATTAAAAGCCCCATGCCAGTTCCAAACACACCACAGCATTTTTGCATGGACAGACACCGTGAGGGTTTTAGAAAATACAGCTGAGGAGCTTCAGAATGTTACATCCCAACACCAATAGCAAGAAGATGTGCTGGATCACAAAGTTCTGAGCAATGCTACCCCATTTCAGCTCAGCTGGGGATGAGTCTCCCACTTAACCCCAGGTGGTGAGCAAGCACAGCACAGAACATCCTCATACCACAAGAAGAGGTATGCAGCTATTTCCTTCTGCTGCAATGTCTCCACTTACAGGTGAACTAATTTCCCAAAGCTGTGATTCCCAACTGATCCAACACAATACCAGAGACACTAAACACCCTTCACACTTCTTAAAACATGGCACAATGGCACAGATTCAAAAGAGGAAGCACCCTGACAGCTGGGATTGGTATTCCTGCTATCACCCATGCTAAGGGGTGGTAGGACCACACAGCCAGGAAGAGATATATATTTGCATTTAACTGTGCTCTCTGCTGAACAGACGTTACATCAAATCAATAAAGAAAATCATTCTGACTTTCATCCTGTTACCACACCTTTCCAGGAAGATGAAGTCACCTGCTGGCTACAACATGGCTTTCTTAAGCCTCACACTGTGAAACAACAATAGAAATAAAGTTGTAAGAGGTAAGGATCTGTGGAAAATGGCATACCCTTGCAGGTAATGTGCCTTCTACAAAAAAAAAAAACTCACAGAGCAGTTGAATGTCTCCAATCCTAGAAGTCTTTTTTATACACCAGTCCAGCTGTTTTGTTTTGTCAAATGGCAGCCAGAGGATAGGTATTATTAATAAATAGCTGTTATCCATACGGTACTCGTACCATTTACTTTCATTTCATGTACTATTACTCCTACAACACAAACCTACAGAGGTTGCAGACACAGCCTATAACTAGCAGAAGCATTTCCAAGAGGCAGCACCTGCACACAGACCCAGGAGCTGTAGACAAGCTCAGAACAGAGTTGAGTTCCAGCATACATTATCAACCTTTAGCCACTGCTGAAAGAACCAAAGTACAAAAGCCAGGAGAAGGAAAGTGATCTGACTTCAAGCCAAACTGTCCCTCTTCCCCTAGGCTTACAGTTCTGATTTAGACTCTTTACCTGCCCCCTTTCCTCTTCAGTCAGGCCTTAACAGAATCCAGGAAACAGCCACAAATCTCCTATGAGGGTCCAAAAGAAAATATTAACCCCAAAATTGACATATTCACATCATTGATGAACTGAAATCAATAAACCTGCTTAGAGAGACCCTTTCTGTTATCTCCCTTCATCCCCCAGTTCAGCAGGTACATTCAGCTTGGCAACACCCCTGATTACTAATGTGACATCCTAGATGCTGCTCAGCACCTGAGCACAGAGAGCTTTCCTCCCTGTGCTCAAGCATCACAGCAGCAGCACAGAGGATGCTTTCACCTCCAAAGGCAGGGAACAGCTCAGTAAAGCTGCTGGGTCAAGGTGAGCAGCACTTTAGCCTGTGGAGATGCAGTCCTATTCAGCTGGCACATTGTGCAGCTTAGCTAGTTAATGTTGCTGTGCTGGTTTGATACATAAATCATGCATTAGCACCTTTGTTCTGTCTGCAGGGCACACATAACTAACCGGCATGGTGCAGAATTTGCTTTAGCTCAATAGCAGAACTGCTATTGTCAGGGTATTCATTAAGTGGAAGTGGCCAAGGGAAACAGCCACAGCACAGTGGATATTTCCCTTCTAATTGCCAGCAAATACCTGTTGAAAGCCTTCCTATTTCTTTTCTTGTTTTAGCAGCTGGAGAAAGGACTGCATATGGACACTGAATAACTGGAATTTCACAGCCTTTCAAGAGTTATTAAAGTAACTTTTTCCATTCCTCACCTGGACTTGTTTCCTCAATTTCCCTTCCAGTTACTTGGAGATAAAAACTAGGACTGCCACTCACAGCCAGGACTTTGTACCATTACCCTCTAAGTGACTCTAGTCATTAATATTTTTTTCCAGGACATTGTTATTTTTCTCATCTTCCAGTATTAATACATCACTCCATCAATTTCATCTCCTTACATCACTGCTCTTCACTGGCTAAAATCCCCACTCCCCTTAACAGACTCCAAGACCTTCACTAATCTTCATGTGGGCAATCACATCCCTTGCCATGCATGCATAAATCTTGTGTTGCACTGAATAAGGTAGGGATGCAGTCTGCCCAGATCTCTTTTCAGCATAATATTTGTGCTCTATATGCCAATGAACTGGCAGTTAGCCTGAACTATAGACAGAATATCAGTGGTCCTACTCCACTGCTATTTCCTTCTGGTAATTTTGCAACTGGGTAATAGCGAGCAGAATGTGTAAGCAGTGAAATAATGAAAGGTAAAACATAAGGGGGGTCATAGGAGCTACAGCCTCCAGTGGCATTTGCCGAAGTTGCCCTGGCCAAGTTAAATGCAATCTGCTAAGAATCTCCAAGTGAACACACAAGCAGTTTGAGAAGAGGAACCTTTGAAAATAAGACTAAGGTTGACTTTGAAAATAACACAGAAAATATTGGGACCAACTCCAGCCAAGGCTCAACCTATGTAACCCCACACAAGGTTAGAGGGACTGAAGATGCTCAGTTCACAGGGACCAGATCTACAGACTTTGAAAAGAAATCATGAAATCCAGAGATCACCTCTATCAACTGAGCAAGTTTTCACTGAATGCCCTGAGAACTCCACCATATAAACCTGAACAAACCCACCAAAACACATCAACCTACAGTGATTAAAATTGTTTTAAAAAGTCAAGTTTTGATTGCGGGAAGGTAATGTGAAGACAGTCTTCGAATCTGAATTAGGATGAGTCATGCATATTTTGTTTCCTTCTTCAAATGCAAATGCATGTCTAATGTATTTAAAGGTTCGTCTATTGCCAGGCTGTTTACCAGCAGGTGTACAAAGGGAAAGGGATGGCAAGGAAACTACAGGGAGACAGTTTTCTCAGCACTTGAAGTCCTCAGCATAGCAGCACAGTAGATGTAATGATGACCCATATACCCCAAACAGTACAGAGAGAGGCAAAGAGAAGGGTTAACAGTCAAGGATGTCCTCCATTATCACAGGGAGGAAATGAGATAGGTGCAAGACCCAGCTTTACGTCTTGCTGCTTTTACCTCTAGCCACTTTGATGTTCTTTCAGCGCTGGACAGGTTCTGATCTCTTGAGTATCTTCAGCATCCTCAAGTTTTCTCCAATGCGTGGGAAGTATATTCCAGGCACAAAGAATACCAAAACACAGCCATTCTGCCCTTCCTTTTTCCATGATCATGTGCTTGACTCCTAGGTAGGACATCTGTGAACTTAAGCAGCCCAGGAAGCCTGATAGATAAAAAATACATGAGGAAGGAAGTATTATATCACAAAGCTTCCTGCCTGCTTTGCATCACCAGATAGCCCAAACCCATGAGATCTGATGTGAAAACCATGTCTATCTGTGCCTTGAAAAAGCCCCAAACATACATGCAGAAAGAGTAGGTTGGCACAACCCAGACAATAGATGTAGGAGTGACAATGAATTACCATATCTTTGTAAGAATAGCTTGCTTTGGGCCAGGTCTCAGGATAATAACCTGAGAGACAGAAACAACTCGAGGCCTTATAGGGAAAGCAGAGAACAAGTTTCAGTTTGGCATTTTGAGTCCCACACCCATTATATCTCCTACAACACCAAAGCTTTCTCATGGTCAAAGAGAAACACTACTCCTTTCACCTAGTCTTATTCCTAATGACTAGAACCTGCTGCTCACAAAACAGTAGCCATGAGATGGAAAGAAACTAAAGGAAGAGTTAGGTCATTAATCCATCAAGTTGATCCAATTAAACTTCTGATGACAGAAGATTAGTCCTTGGAGCATATTTCTGGTTGTATCCAGTTTACTTTTTAAACAACCCCAACAGAGTGTCTATCGTTTCCCTTGAAGAAATTACCCACAGCTCGTTGAAGATCTCTCACCGGGGCAATTTCAATTCTTTCCAGCCTAAAGGTTCTCCTTTTCTTCATTTTATGTTACTGCTCTCAGCAATCTTTTGTGGCCTGCTTTGTAGGGCATTCCTCAGCACACATTCTGCACATGGACATGGATCCTTGGCTTCTAGCTTTGTAAACTATATTCAGCATTTTCAACCTTTCCAAACACAATTCCCAGCCCTTTTAGATTTATGGAAAAGCAGTAGCTTTTTTTTTTTTTTGAATTTTTTTTCTCCATTTACTTTCCTCCCACTTGTCCCTATGTTTTGTTGTCCCGCTGTACTTGAAAAGCTCAAACTGGCACATTGATATGTGGAAAGAAATAAAGACACAGCAGACTACAGAATGATGTCAAGTACACCAAATTCCTTCCAGAAGGGAAAAGATAAACACAGACATTTTTCTTCTCCACTGGATGAGAGATTGGATGGTTATTCACTCTTCTGTTGGCAAGACTTGTGCTTTGAACACACCTGTGCCTGCCAAGCAGAAGGATCGGGATAACCTCTGATACAGAGAAAAAACAAGCACGAGCACAGAAAAAAAAATACATTCAGGAAAGCATGTTCCATATTGACATCAGTACTTCAACCAGCCACAGCAGAAGTTTGGATATCAAAGCACCATTCCTGTCTCTGTGAGAAATCTCAACCTCCCCATGTGCTGAAGTAAAGAGCAGCTGCATTTAATCACTTGTGGGACAGCCGATGGCACTCAGGGCCTGGGCTGCCCTTTGCTAAATGCCAAAAAGCACAGCCAAAGACTGGCTACATGCTGGAGAAATCAGTGGAGACAGAGTCCCTTCCAATCTGAGGGCTGGAAATCAGAGGGACTGAAGATAAGAGAGGAATCATCCAACACAGAGCCCCAAAATGAAATAAACAGTTCTTACAAGATATTCTTGCTTGAATGGGATATAAAGAGTAATACCTTAGCACAGCATCAAATAGAGTTGGCACCTGTAATTACAGGCAGGAGTACCACAGAGAGCACAGCACGATGCTGAGTATCCCCAGGCAGAGATTCCTAGAGGAGGCAGTTCTTCACAAGCCAATTGCCTGCTGACTTACCCAAGTAGAAGTACTGCAAAACACACTTACAAATTACTCCAACCCTGCTGAAGCAAGAATCTTGTGCAGATTTAGACCTGATGAAGGTCTGGCTAGCAAAACACAGCTACACAGGGTATTCTCCGCAGCCCCATTGACTTCAGAAGGAGTGGTATGCACCAGTCAGAGCACATATGGGCAAGAATGAGCAGGAGAATGGGCTCATGCTGCTGTGTCTGTCCACTGCAGGCCATTTTGTTCAGCTGGATGGGAAAAGAAAACAGGACTGGAGTGCCACTGGAAAGTTCAGAGGTGGTTCAGCCTTAAGTAGCAATTGAGCTTCCTCCTCCTCTGTTCCTAGTTTAACAGAACTTCAGCATCATGAGCTGATTGTTTCTGTTCATGAAATCTGTTCATGACTACACCAGTTCTGCCTCTTCCTTCGATGGATGGATGAGATCTCATTAATGCATTTTTACACCACACCATCATAATCTCTCTTGACTTTCAATGGCTTTGAGCTACAACCACACACCTTGAAGAGCTGAGCTTTTGCATGCCTGATAAATTCAACTTTAAACTGATTATTGAAATACCCAAGCTGTTCATGCAATGACTGCCAGCTGAATCTGCACTCTCTTCATTTCTTAATCTTCACTTACAGCATCAGAATTCATTTGTTCTTTTCCACTGCACTCCCTGTTCCCAATTGTGCATTCCCACCCCTTTTCCCACCTCCCCAACTCCACTGAGCACACTGCTTACAAGATTTCTGGAAATGGCTCATTCAAGAAAGAGCTTATTTGTTTCAAGCAATAAACCAAAAAAAAAAACCCAAAGGAACAACTCAATTACTGTTTACTTGAGGACAAAACCAGAGCATCTTTGATACCTTTGTGTACAACAGAAGGTGAATTTTATATTTAAGTCTTCTTTACTTCCTCTTCTGGATTCCTGAACAACAGTAAGTAGGAATCAGCTCTTTGCTTTGCCAGAAGTAATTGCATTTTAGAAGTAAGCTGTCCCAACAAAAGTTTTAAGTAGAAAGCATAAACATCAAGTTACAGCTACCATGCCCAGCAAGGGGGATGAAGCTATTTCACCACCACCTATGGCTTCAAGCAATGCATAGACTTACCTGAGCACGAAACACTCATATCTCTGCTACACCAGACAAGCCCTTCCTCTGAGTTGCCTCCAGCTCCTTTTGTTCTCACCTCAACCAGGAGGCAGAGGGAAGAGGAACTGTGAGCTCTCAAGCCCAGAAGCATCCTCCACATTATTAACCCCTTGCTCCTCCTCCACATTGCAAATATGAAGGATCTTTTCCTTTGCAGCTGATTCCACTCTCTCCTGAGGGCCAGGGAAGCAAAGGCAGACAGCTGTAGCCTTTCTACAGAAAAGGGCATTTGCCTCTTTCTTGCAAGCTGAGGGACAATGCCCAGCCCCCTGAGGAAGGCAGATATCATCCACTCCACTTGACATTTGCACAGTGCTTTGGAAGACAGCTATGTAAATGTAAGACAATGAGGGGATATTGTTCAAATCCTGTAAACCTATTTGAAGCCAAGAGGGTAATGTCAGTTTACACCATCCAAGTATCTAGGCCTGTGTAATTAATAATTAGAGATGAAGCACAGGGGCTGTTAGTAATAAAGCCAGGTTTACTCAGGTCTATGGCCAGCACTTCAGCAGTTTTACTGTGCAGTTTTAATGAAAAATGGAATTCTCTCAGAAGAGAACAAAATTTAAACCAGTTGAAAGGATCACCTGACATCACATTTGTCATTGCAATGACTGGAAAATTATCCAATCCATTGAACAGCACATATGATCTTTGCAGGTGGGTCAGAAAAAGCCTAAGGCACAGAACGGCAGGTACGGTAGAGGTCAAACAGCACTATGCCACAGGCACCGAGGCCAGCAGAAGCTGTGAACACACATGGGTTTGAGAACACCACTTGGCAAAGTGGCATTTTCTACCTCTCTTCTACTGAAGCCTGGGAACACTAACACTGCAACGCTCCCCTGCTTTCCCTGTCCTAGTTAAAAGACTTAGCAGACAGAGGTGATTTACTCAACCCCCATGTGCAATACAATCAGACTGCTTACAAACACCCCAAGTCCTCAATTCCAGCTATTGTATCTTGTGCTTTTACCTCACACATCAAAAAGCTTCTTTCACACATTTCCTCTGTGCAACACGATCCATTGGCCTAAGATGTTTACCTTATTAATAAATACTGCAATGATTCCCTGAAGGTCACAGGTAACTGTGCTGGCGCTCCACAGGGCAACGTGTGTGAAATATCCCAGCACTTTTGTCCAGGGCTTTCCACGCAGCTCCATGTTTAATGAGTCCATCACCAGGTTTAATGACCTGCCAGAGCTTTAGAAACACTCTGCCCTCCTCATCAATGATTCACATGCAGTCTTAAACTGTGCGCAGATTAAAGAGGCTGCTGCTTTCCCACCTCGCTTCAACCCAAAGCGGTTTTAAATATTTCATCTCGCCACAGAATTCTTCTGTACACGTCCCAAAGGTGCTCTGAGAAGCTCTTGATGGGAGTTTGGCTTTACCTGGCAGAGGGCCTGCTGGCACCATAAGAAAGCTGTCGCTGCCAGGCTTGCCCACATCCTTTATTTACTTTCTTTAATGAGTCCTGCATGACCCTGGCTGTGCGGAGTGGGGATAGGATTTTCTGAAATGGTTGGTACTTTCTGTTTATGGAAAGCAGATGGAAGCTCTGACTGCAGGGAAAGAACAGAGAAGTACCTGATCCACAATTATCTGGGGAGCAGGAGCCTTCCTTTAGCTTCAAGAGGACAGAGTCATGACTCAATTTTCCTTTCAGCTCTGGTGGGATTTAAGGAAATGTAGGCAGGACCTTGCCTTTTCCAGATGAGCACATCCAGGATGATCAGAACACTTTATAGCTCTTACTGCAAAGCAACTCTGACGTGAGAGGTCTCACAGTCCAGACACAACCATAGAAGCATCACTCCCTGCACAAAGCAAGACTCTGCCCTGTGATACAGTCTCTATGCACACATTTTTGGTCCCCAATGAAGGAGAGCAAAGTAGCCCAGGTCTGGAAGAAAGACATAAAGACATAAAGCCACACCTCAGCTTTGTCACCAAAGGCAGGATGCTGCTGATATTAGTCTCAGCCATCACTTTGACATCTCTCAGATGGGAATGCTACCAGCAGATCTTGCTGTCCAAGGCATTTTGGGAATTACAAATCCCTTGTACAGTACATGCTAGTGCATTACCAGGAGCAGCCGTATTTTCGAGACGTGTAACCATGCGTGCCATACACTTCTGGCAGACAGAGGTCTGTCCAACATGCTGGATTTTCTTATAGGTTCAAGTTCTCCACAATTACTCTAGGCAGATTCTTATAACTCCATATTGTTTCCCTAAGAATTCCTATATATATTGTACGTATGCTAAATAAACAAATTATTAAAAAAGATCAGGAAATATAATAGTGAGAGAATCACTTATAAAGCACAACATACACCCTTTTACCTATTGTTTTACTCTACTCTTACCCTCCTTTCACCAGCAGTGCACAACAGCTTACCTGCTGGTACCCGTGGGTAGTGTTCCCCAAGCATTCAGACTTGACAGGTCACCAGTTTCATGGGAAATCCATCTGAGACAAATGACGTTCTCTAGGTAAATAATTTACAATTTTTGGTCGGCAAATCCTTTTTTTAGGTTAGTCAATCAGCTCAGAACACGGACAGAGAAGGACAAATCCAGGGAAACAGGCATACAGAGAGATAAGTGCGCACATGCAGACACACAATTTCTATACTAGCTCCTTCAGCAGCTCTGGATTTCTGCCCTCTTTTTGGCTTGCTTCTCACCCAGAGGCCTTGGAATAGGCAGGGAGCAGCTTGAAGCCACCTGAACACCTGTGCCCGCATCTTTGCCTTTGTTTACAGATCTCACAGCCTGTAGGAAGTGACAGCCAGCCTGCATTTCTGCAGTATTTTACAGACAAAATTCATTGGCAGTGGAAGGTGCCTGCTGAAAGCATGAGCAAGCAACCCCTGTCCTCACAACAGGGGTACAAGACAGCCTTAGTCCAATGCATTCACCTACTGTTTCCAATAAAGACAACCTCAGTTTCCGTGCCCATTCAACCTCAGGAGTGTTTGGAAAGGAGACATTCATCGCAAAGAGTTGAGCTGGGACCACATAGGTTGCAGAGAGGCATTAAACCACAGTGACTTTAGGATCTACACGGCACAGAACGGCCTGCACCCACAGAGCTCCCTTTACAGCACTCATCCATGGTCAGGACTGTGGGGGTCAGGGACCAGACAATTCCCCCTACATTGCCAGGGACAGCGCAGCTGACAGCACTTGGTCATGTCACTTCCTTGTCCTCATTTCTTCTCTCACCAGCTAACGGGAAATGAGGCAAAAACTCCTCAGTGGGTGAAGGGGGTCACACCAGTCCATGGCAGATATGATCAAGTAATGAAAAATTTTGTTTGTTGGTGTGCTCAGAAAATAAAGCCTTGCTTTCTCCTTCATAACTCAGCCTTTCCTATAATGAATGATGAGCTCTGTGGGCCTGCAAGGGTAGCCCTGCCTGAGAGAGAAGACAAAGATCCCTTTACTTAATGCAAAACCAAACAAAAGCAAGCAATAAAGCACTGTAGAAGATGAGCAGGTAAGTACTTGCATTTTATCTTCAGTCAATAACTTTTCAGCATGGCTGATCTCTGAAATCTGATTTTCTGTTGTACTGCAAATCCATACCCCCTGGGAAGCCTGCTCCCCCCTTGCTGAGCATTAGCTCTCACTTCATTTGTCCACACAATCTCTACACAGCTGTCATCTTGGCATCCAAGCAAGCTTAAACAAAAACATAATCTCTCCATAAAGAACACCTCTATACTTGAATAGCTGTTGCTCTCAGGTGTCCCATTCCATGAAATCCATCACCATACCACTTCTGCCTTCCTCAGTGAAGGGAGGATGTTCAGAGAAGAGCTCTGTAGTGCATCATGGGCTCAATTTACTGTGGCTCATTACCTCTCCCTGGCTCACTCTAGTCTTTTCGGGGGTGAGAAGGCCATAGTATGAGTCCTTGGCCAAAGCCACTGCAACAGCTACAGAAGGAATCACTGTACATCCTCACTATACAACAAAGCCATCATGCTAGGATGTGGCAAGAGAGAGCTTGTAGTTAAAGGGTTGTGTAATAAATAACTAGAGCTTGAGGTGAATGCAGGAACCAGATGATGGGGCAATAAAGTATCCATTGCCATAATGTCAATTCACTTTCTTTTTCTTTCATATCTCTTCCTGCCTAGTGACTCAGGACATTCAATAAAAGTGAACTGATCAATGCAGCTGAGCTGCTGCTCAAGCTGCATCTAGAAAATATTATTTCCCCATTACCTTCTGTTAGCTCCAGCGATCTTATTATGATTGTTGCAGAGTAAATGTTCACATTTTGGTATAACCCATCAAGAAATCCTTGCCATTTACCCACAGCAGCAAAATGTTACACCAAAGGGAAAGATGCAGGTAGTGAGGCTGTTTCCAAACTGCCTTCCACCTAGCTGTTTCCAGTGCTGCTCAGCCAGAGAACCATCACCACAACCCTCCCGAGGGGTTCTCACTGGAGTAACAGTGCTAAAGCCTGAGCACCACACTAAACTGCCAGGTGCATCAGGGCTCCTAAAGCAAAGAGATGTCAGGTACCCACTGTTGCTATTCATAACCTTATGCACTCAGTCTGAGTCATATGAAAATCATGCTTGACAAATCATGAGGATCAAAGGAGCACCTCCATCCCCGACAGAAGCAGGTTACCCTTGAAGTTTTATCAGGGTGGATTTCATCCCAGGTTACATAAAGCCATTGCAGTAGTCTCAAAGATGTGAAACTTGGGTATGAGAGGGCAATGGTGCTAATTAATTACACTGAGGAGTTAAGGTTAGTGGAATCAAACCCAAGACAGTGTGAATCATCGCAGTTCCACTGGAGGGAACAGTTACATTATTTACTGAGTGAAAATGTGTTTCACTAAGTTGAACAGAACAAGAAAGGGCTATAAACAGAACCCAAGTTATAAAACAGTAAAACACAGTTTTCTGTCCTTAAAGTAGATCTCTCCCCTACACTGAGTCTCAAATATAAGGGCCATGTCAGGTGAAAGGCAAAGCCTGCCATTTGCCAACTTAAACAACAGAAAGGACCCAGCGTGATGAAGCCTGTCAGATGTAACTCACTTGCCGCATCAGGAACCATGGCTCATAAGGCAAT